GTTTCAGACAACAGCTACACGATTTAGCTCACAGTCAAGTTAAACCTCTATTCCATTGGTTCAGTCAGTAAAGCTAAATATGTTGCCTCATCATGTTTTAAATTTGAAATATTTTCTGGTTTATTATGACCTCTATAATTTGACTTTTAGTTTTACTTATCAAAATCCTACAAGAGGCTGATGTTAATTATATATATTATTACTTATACTTATATTATTAATTATTATCACGACCATGATGGGAGACAGTTGACCTCAGGGAGTCCTGACTTTTGGAAGATAAGTAAAAAAATAAATAAATAAATAATAAAAATCAAGAATTATTATTATTTATTTTTTTTGCATCAGTTGCTGCCTTTGCTGCTGCTTCTTCTTCTTTTTCTCATCTCCAGCCTCATGTTGTTTTCTTCTCTGCTGAAGCTGCTTTTGGGGACAATTATATCATTATCGAAGCCACATGAAATCCCAGTGTAAACAAACTTGGGGAATAGAGTTCTTCAGTGTACAGACCATGGCTTCACAGCAGACTTGTAACAAGATTTGACAAAATTTAGCTACATTAGCAAGACACAATATATATATGTCACTGGTAAATGTTTACTTTTTATGGGCAACATTTCTATCAGTTTCTGTCGACTGTACTGGCCGTTGCACACCGACACTTTTATTTTTGGTCGTACGGTCAGCTGCACCAGCCCACACTGCAGTACATTAGTCCATTATTTATTCTACTTTGTAATTCTGCTGCTAATGGGTTACTACGGGTTAAAAGAATGGCGGCCTTGTGACTCAGTAAAAGCTTCTCTCTGTAAATGTTCAAAACCACGATTGTTGGAGCTGAACACATCCCCCTTGTGCCATCCAAGTAGGCCTTCAACCAACTGTGTGTTGGCATCGGCATCAAACCACCAAACCGCTCGACCTCAGAGCCATTTCTGAGATCTGAAAGAAAGATGAGCCTCTAATTCAAATCAGACCAGAGCAATCAAGAGCCACTGAAGAGATCTGGCTGGCTGTGTGTTTACATGTGTGCGGGGACGAGGATGTGCCACGGTTTGTGCGTCTGTGACCGTGTATGTGTTTGTTCATGTGACTGTGCAGTTTGGTGAAATAAACATGTGTCAGTGGCTCTGAAGAGACGCAGCAGAAAGAACTTTAGTCTCCCAGTAAACAAACAGTCCAGCAGAAGAGCGAAGACCCGAGGGGAGGGTTACTGTAGCGTATGGAAGTGTACACTAACACACACGGGTGCAAACATTTAGCCTCTATACCCCAGCCTGGTCATGTGACATATCCTGTTTCACCTGATCTAGTCAACAGTCTGCTATTCTGTTTTTGGTGTGCATGTCATTTCGCCTGCTTATTTGTTTATGGCCAGGAGCCATGTACAGTGATACCTTGTTATTTTTCATTAGACTCTAACATAGTCAAATAAGACACAGAAACGTATACTAGTTTATTTACATGTTCCAAAATATAAATACGTTATACCAAAGTTTCCTGTCAACCAAATTATCAACCTGTTACGGATACGTTTGATCTACCAACTTTCTCTGCAGTCGCTGATTCAGTATTCAGGGTGTGAAGGGACAAACTTGGGTGGAGACACTTCTGAGCCAACAGTACCTAGACTGATAAAGGAACAAAGAATTTCTTTGGTCAGTTTTCTGAAAATTGTTTAATTGGCTTATTGTTACAACATTAACCAATAATTCACGAGTTTTTAGGAATCACAGATTGATGTTAAATCGCATTATTGAGGCTCACAAAGGAAATCGGGCAATTTCAGACACCTCACAGGCTTATCTTCAAGAGTGTTAAGATAAGTTGAGGGTTTTGGAGAAAAAGACAATTTCACAAGTTGAAGAGCAACCGTGCAGAATAATGTTCAGCAGAGCGGTTTAGTGGAGGCAGTGCAGAAGTAGCTTCTGCCAGAGTAATAAGTGGAAGTGATTGAAACCACATATAAGAAATGAGACTCTGATAAAGGACGAGGTGTAATGTAAAAGGAAAGAGCAGCAGTTTTATCTGTATCTTACCTTGAAGGCATTCATCCATATGAGCACAAACATGGCAAAAATTAGGAAATGGCAGCTGTTTTGGTGCAACACACACACACACACACACACAAGAAGGGCTGTGAAAGTGCACAGCTGGAAAATGTCCAAATTTAGAGATTATAGTTGCTGAGAAAATTAAGCGGTGTAAGCTCATTAACGACAAAAAAACTGTCTGCTGTTGGCTTAAAGAGAATCTAAACGTGTTACTTTGTCTAAGAAATTCCTCCAGTTTGTGGGAAAATACAGCCGCGATACTATGGTGCTGCGTATACGACGGATGAAGTCTTTTATGTCTTGTTTTAGGACCAAAAAGAGTTCCAATAAATGTTCATTCAGCTTCAGGAAGAGAAAAATGCCTTGTGAAACGTCAACATTTTAACAGGTTTCTAATAAACCTTTGTTAAAATGGGATGTTTGCTCTGATTTTCAATTGTTTTTCTCAACAAATCCTTAACCAAATACAACACAGTGCAGCTCAATGTTTGACAAATATAAAATGACAAAAGTTGCCAATGCTGTTGGAGACACTGGAGACCCTTCTTTACATGTTTCAAATCATAACGTTGGTCTTGGGACCGTTTGTCCTCACCTTGTACCACGGTGAAACAAAGAAATGTCTGAGGCAGAAAGACCGAAAATATGGTAAGATATTACAAAGATATGAAAAGATTGATAGATTAAATGAAAAACATTTCTGAGGGATGATTTGACAACAATCAGTTTGTGTGATCAAATTCACTGTAATCGAAAATATTTACACTTAAATTTATAAAAAGTTCTAGGCTGTGCTAGTGCTGTTTTCAAGCTGACGCCAGTAGAAATGACATTTTCGACAGATCACTAGTTCACTGGAGGGCAACAACTGGTCACAAGCAACCATTGACACTCACACTGACAACTTTACAAATTTAAATTTAGTGTCTCAGTGCAAAACAATTCTCAAACACTTTTGAAATGTAGAAGACGTCATAGCACCTAGAAAAAACTAGTGCCTGGTCAGAGAGATTTGATTCTTAGTACAATAAAAACAAAGTTAACTTCAGCTTCCTTCATTTTTTAAGCCATTCAATATTGTCCACAGTTTGAAGGTCAAAGGGTCATTTTGACATGTGCCTTCTTTTGGCAGGTCTGTGTGGACATGCAGTACAGATTGTGAATTGTGTAGCATTTCTGCAGATAACTTGAATCCTAAACAGCCAGTCGATGGCGTGATCCTACAGTATGTGCAATTTTGTCTTATACTGGTCTAGAATGCTACCTCAAGTGTGCATAAGAATCATCATCCCCTAAAACTGTGTTCACCTGTCTTGGATGATGTATACAGTAAAAGAAAACCTTGGAAGAAAATGTAACATTTTTCATAGCAGTAACTCAGAGCGAGAGGCCCCTGGCTCAAGACGAAATACTTCACTTTGTAATTTGTACAATCACATGTTGACATCATCTGTCAACAGCTGATGACAGTGGGCATGGCTGTTTGGAGTCAGCGCTTGACAAAGAAATTGATGACAAAGAGAGGAATGGAGAGAAAGATCAGCAGAAGCAGCATCAGCAAGTTTCTCAAATGCTTGCGAGGTGGTGAGAGGAAAAATGTTCTTTTTCAGAGTTCAAATATGCTGCAAAATGCCTTGAACAGCTCCTACTTTATTTCACTCTCTGTGAGAATCTAAATTAGACACAAGCCTCGACAAACCTCAGGGACCAAAACGGGGAAAGTAGGCAAATATCTTGTACAGAGCGGAGCACAGAAAAAGACAGCGAGGGAGAGCGAGAGCGAGAGAGAGAGTTTTAAATGCATTATGTGATGCACTTCACCTGTCACACTTCAAATATCTAAAGTGTATTGACGTGACAAAGACTATTGTAAACATGTTGACTGACATTCCAAGCAGAAAATATTTTGAACCCTTTAACGATTGAAAAGGAGTGAAAAGAGAGTTAGCTTACGTTTGCTCGCTCACCTGCTAACAATGGGTTAGCAGCAGTTGGTTGCTAAATAACTGCAAAACAAATGTGGTGTGTAGGTTATTAAAGGAAATGTTAACATGTCAACCAGGGATTCACGACAAACCAAAGGTTGAAGGAAGATCTACGACAGCAAAATAAAAATAGAGTAGACTAGTCAAGGTAGGTGAGTTGTAGGTTTATTTTATTGTGCATGTTACCATTGTTAGCTTATCACCTAAAAAGGGTTAAACATGAAGGGGTGTTCTTCCAGCCAAGAAAGAATGGCTGACATTTAACTGTCCGACATCACAAATCCCATCCAGTCGCACCATTAATTACAAGATTAGACCTATCAAAGCTTTAACTGCTGGAGTGCAAATCAAACAAAGATCATGGAAGTATTTCTGGCCCCATAAAAAGAGAAGTGGACACAAGCTCACCTGGCTGCCTGAGCTGGAAAAGCTTTACCGTTAATGCTCTTTGTAGACAATTTTAAAAAATCAAAATAAAAGAGGGATTCTTCCTCTCTTTGTTTTGCTAAAAAAATTCTGACTTTTATTACACATAGTGAGTCAAATATGTCATATGCTGTCCTTGGCTCGTGTATCCAAAACAGTCATGGGGTTACAAAAACCAAAGTACCATTTTAAGCCTCAAAATAAACAACGTGAGCAGTGCCATTTTGCCACTTTACGTATTATCTTTTCTTTTTTCTATTTGACTCAAAATTAAATATAATTTCAAAAGATGACAGGAGCCAAACACCTCAAGAACTTTTTCCATCTGTCAACTTAATGAGAGAAGTAGAATTATTTAGAAGTCCATGGGGGCTCAAAGAGTTCTTCTCTAACTAGCAGATAGCGATTGTTGATCTAATGGACTGTCAAGAGGTTGTGTAGCGCTTTGTGGATGGAACGACTGATTATATGACTGCAATGTCTGTTATGTTTTTTGTGATGTGTGTGTGTATGTGGAGATTCAAAGGCATCTTGAATCTAAAGGGTGAGGACAAATGTAGAAACACCATTTAAAATGAATGAATGAGTTAAAGGGTACACTAGACAGAGAGACCAACAGAACATTTCTATAAAATAGTCAACTGTCAGTATCTAACTCATCTTTCTGTTAGTGAGAAGCCCGGTAAGAACCTCTTGTCTTATCTGATGCCTGATCAGGTTTCTAGAGTATCTCCTTGTTACCTTCAAAGTATTCCTAAACAAACATTTGAAAACAATAAATGCAAAATTGTTTGTTGGTTTCTTGACTATATTATCAAGATCAACTGAGTTCAGTTGCCCTGTACGCAAAGAACAGGGCCAGACAAAAGGGGTTTTCCTGCAAGGAGAAATGTGTCATTTATTCTGCAGCATAGAAGATAAGCAAACTGAGATCATGATAACAAAACAATGGTCTGGGTTTTCCTTTTGTTTGCCCAACTCATAAAACTGAATCATTACCAGCGACACCGTCCAAATAAACGACCCCAGCTTTACTTGTGGCTATTGGCTCATAAAACTGCACACAATTCAGTAAACAGATATAGGAAGAGGGATATGGTCCAAAAAGAAGGCGTGAAAACAGAGGGAGACAAAAAAAAAGAAACGTGTGAGAGCTGCCAGCGGTGAAAGACGATGAGAGAGTTATGCTAGCATGTGGTGGTAAGAGCCTCCTGTATAAACAGACAGCCTCATTGCATCTTAATGCCTGAGTGAGAGCAACACTTACAACAGCAAGACAGATGCACATCTGTCAATAACACATTGACACACACCACTTGATGTCCATGTAATGAGTGAGTCAGGCAGAGATCCTGTTGAGTCAGGAAATTAGGAATTGTTCAACAAGATGCTAAAACAGAACTGTTTAACAGGTTGGCAGCTCAGCAGAGACGGGAGTCAGTTTGACTCCCGCTTGCACGCCAACGACCGTGTGCCAACAAACGTGGACGTTTCTGACTCATTTGTTGACTTGAAAACCCTGACGACTCAGTATATTTTCTCCTTTGATTAATGTGAAAAACATTAAGCTAACTGTTTCTGGCAACCATAACTGCAGCTCTGTGTCAAATGAAAACAGGATTTATATGACGGATAATTTATTCGCTACTGTTTGGTTACTGTTAAACAAAGCAATGGATTCCACACCCCAGCGCCAGGCAGAATGAGGTCAAAATCAAAGCGAGAGTTCAGGGAGGTTAGTCGTCATTGGCTCCATTTTTGGGAGTTCATATCTGGTAGTTAATGCAATCATGCGTGCAACTTTGTTGTAAGTTCCAGGTGGATCTATGCGCCTGTTGTGTTGTCCCAAAGTCATGCACTCTGTGGGCTGAGGGACAGGCGGGGTGCTAGAGATTGATGAAAGCAGGGCCTTGTTGCTGTTCCCTCTCTGGCTTACTTACTTACCTACCTCAGTCTACCTAAACACACACACACAAATGAGGCCAGCGGACCAGACAAGCAGTCTAACTTTATTTAGAGAAGCCACAGCTATACTTTGTGCTGGCTTTGAGCTCGAGGTGAAGTCAGCTCGGCCACGAGAGCATGTTCAGACACCAACCTACTGTTTAATAATCTATGCTGTACTTATGCTCATCATGGTCAACCACAATGTAGCAGGGAGCAGAAATGTGCCCGAGCCAATTCTGGTTTTTCAACACACTTATCACCACGTTTTGAGTTAAGACTCAGACATTTAAAAACCTAAACTAAAACAGAGGGAAATAAACAAGAGGAATTCATCGGCCATCAAAGGTTTTTGTGGCTGGGTTTTATGCCAATAAGACTCTTAAATCACTGTTCGCTTCCCTAATGGGCAGTAACCACACCTGCCCTAATTCCCCCTGTAGAACTTAGCACTCTGATCTATAGTCAGGGTTTTACTTGTCTGACGGAACTTAAACTATCTTGAATATGATCCTGGAGGAGTCACTTGGTGCACACACTCCTGTTCCCAACCCTGATGTCAGTCAACCCTTACCATGACTAATCACACAAAGCAAAGGGTCGTAGGTTCATTTCCAAATCCCCAAGGGTCCCATTCCGACCTTTAACCATTCCACAGAGCTGAATCTGTCCCTATTCCCTCAGATCGTTTCGTGGAGGTAAGTCCCCCTAACAAGCCAACCTCCAACCACATCAAAAAGAAACTGTGGTAGCTGTCGGTGAGATGACCTCTGATCCATGAATCACTGTGACATTTCCCTGAATAAACAATATTTTTTGTCATGATGTCCACATCTCTAGGCCTAATATTTGTAATTATTAACTGCTGCTGTTTAAACCACAATCTCCTAAGACAAAACATACAACCAATCATGTCTTAAGGGTTTTTTTAGTTTTCTATCACAACCCACTATTCATTATACATTACATTTTTTTTTAAACAAACAAACACATACACACATACACACATACACGAATAACAACAACAAAAGAAGTCGAGCAGAACTCAAGGTCTGATACTATAAACAAGACAACATACTCTGGGCGCCTTCAGGTCAACAACACATCTGTTTCTAGAATCTCTTGTTTATTTTGAAAAGGTCAAACATGAAAACACATGCGGACAAAGACATGCAGCATCGCATCGACAGTTGTTATCTTACCTTCAGTGAGAAATGGTTCTGGGCTTGGGCAGCGGTTGGCTCTATCTGTGGGGGGCGAGGGTTCATGTGGACTTAGTAGTCGCTCCGGTAAACCGGGGTCCCCATCACTGGGAGGGTCTGGGGATATGGCAAGAGCATTCTTCCCCTCCTCATCCATGGACGTCAGTCTGGCTCTTTTGGAAGGAGGTGGAGCGGCCAAGGAGTGGGCCTGGATTGGAGAAGGGAGACAAGCGTAAATTACGTTATTAGGTTGTCACTCTCTGTCATGTGAAAGTTCCCTGTTGATGCTCAAACTGACCTAAAACAGGCCAACTTTAGGGTGACGTCATTCAAGGCTTGAACCAGCATGAATCCCTTTTAGCTATTCTAAAAAGAATCACGAAAGGAAGTGATGAACTGGTGTGTTGTTCTGATGAAACTCTGGTAACACGACAGAAATTCCTAAGAATTTCTCTATTCTGACTGTGATTTAACATTAACAGCCTGTATCTTTCCTTAAATTGTTAGGTTACTGATTGATGTGAAATGTGCAGCAGCACTAAAATTTGAACATTGTAAATATTTAAACCTGTTACAATTGAAGAAGACAAACACTATTTGAAAACTGTTATGGGGAATGTTGAAAGAAACAAGTAACAAATAAGAAATAGATGATCATTTTAGAAGAACTAGAAGTGAAGGGATTGGACACAGCATGGTACTGGCAGCCAGATGGTCCAACAGTAGTGAAGCGATGGAGAACAACCTTTACAACATTGCAACTAATTGACTTCATTTATCATTAAGTTATGTACAAAAAACTGCTTTCCTAAGATTATTTTATTTATTTATTTATTACTGTTATTATTTTTGTTGTGGTTGTCTTTGTTGCTGTTAATGCATTTTTTTTAATATAATACCAAGACAAAAAGTTAATTTGCTACAGTTTCTAGGTCACGTGCCAACTTGAGTTTGGCTCAGCTGTCCAGCTGTTTGCGCGCTCCCGCGGCGCGCTACACGTCTGCGCCACCAAAACGTTCTAATGACAAGGTATAGGCATCAACTGTCGTAACGTAAACAAACAAATAAAACAAACATCGACTTTTGTCGGAGTTTGTAGGGTTTTTTTATGTCCCCGAATTGAATGAAAACTTGAAGTTGGCAGATGTTGTAAGATTGAAGAAGTTTCAGATAAACAGCGATAAGATGAGCGCGCACTGAAACTCGTGCTAAACTTCTACGGGGTATTAAAAATTGCAGGATAACTCTGGACTTTTGTAAAAGAAAAAAACAGTTGTTCGTTGTAAAGAGGCAGCTCTGCAGCGTGAAGCACTCTCACACTAATTGTTACTGTTCTCTAGTAACGGGCGTTTTCTGTTTACCTTTATTGCCGGTCTGCGCCCTGCTGTCACAAAACGTGTCCGTGCACGTTGATACCGTGATGTGTCAGAACCAATTTCCTATGTCTGCAGTTTAACTAAGGAATAACGACATTAAACGTCAACATGACTGAAAAAAAAAACAAAAAACAATCTCTTACCTTCTCTCTGGCTGGGACTCGGAGCAGGCGAGCTCCGGGCTAATTCATTTTCTGACCACTTCACTTTTACTTCTCGCCCTTCCAAGACCTTTCCCGTCTTCTGTCCCTCCACTCTGATCACTTCGCCGGAACCAAAACTCCCCAAGGTTCAGATAGATGTCCAACTCCCCCCCCACCCCCCGATTCAATGCATTTTTCTGCAGCCGAAATAGTTTTTTCTCTCCGCCTCCAAAGTTTCTCTGTGTGGCTCCCCCCGTCCTCCAGCAGACCAGATGTTGGGAAGAAGTTTGAAAAGTCTTTGTCTCCAGCTGCAGATCCCTTCGCTTTCTACCGAGTTTCTGCAAACCAAGTCCAAGCACACCTCCTCCCAAAACTTGTGTCAACTCTTAACCTTAGCAGTGTACCTCCTATGCACTCCGTCTCTCTTCGGCTCCTTCTTTTACTCCCACTGACGGACTTGTGAGCTGCGGCTATTGGACAGGAAGCTCCAGTCAGCAGAGATTGTGCTTCCTCCAGGCTACATACAAGCAGGGCTGAGCTATACTGTTATATTATATCCTCATAAATCCTCACCACACTCATTTTGCCTTGGCTTTACTCTGTGAGGACTTTTTCAGAAACAGTTTATTTCTCCATATTTATGTATGTGTATATATATATATATATATATGTATATATATATATATATATATATAATACATACATACATATATAATACAGAAAAGGATATTTTCTTGTCAAACAGGGTAATTCTGAATTTTATCCACACACATTAAGCATCAGTTTCCATCCTTTGCCTTTGTTTTGTTATTTGTTAACTGTTAAGAATAACTGAGATTTCTTTCTTAGGCAGTGAAAGTTGTGGTATGAGAACACAAAAATTAGACCTGAATGAATGCATATGAATTTATTCATCAATAACCAATTTATCAAGAAATCATATTTTCTTGAAAACATTCAGTTCTGGTCCATAGATTATTTAATACCAGGCCACAGGAGATTCAGAATTAGACTCATCTTTCTTAGATCTAGATTTTTGAAGTTTCTTTAGCGTTAACAAGTAGAATTAAGGTTTTAAATAAGGCCACTCCTAAAATTTTTTTCAATATTTTATTTTTATATATCAAGGCAGATTTTCAATATGACTTAAAAATGAATTTAATGAGAGTTTGTTAGTCATCAGTATACTGTATATTGACATTCTGTGTATAAAAAATGGAATTTACCCAACTTGCCATTTTTACAGTTCTGTTTATTGACTTCTTCACTTATTTGGTGGACTATTTCAGTCTACGTGCTGCGGTGACTCACTGTGGGAAATTTCAGCCTCCAGTCTGGCGTGCATTAAGCTATATAAATTGCAGTAGGATACAAAACTAGGTCAGTTTTTTTCCCCAGAATTGAGTCACAGTTCAGCCCTATGTTGATAATTGTGCATTTAAAGTATTTACAAGGAGCTCTCCACCTTTTACACACACATTCTTTCACAGATTTCTCTAGAGTTAATTCCAAAATACTGACCACGATGAGATGAAAATCCTGCAAACGTGTGTGTTTATGTTCATAACGGTGAAAAAACTCCGTAATTAGTGCAAATCTTTAACAAAACAGAATCAGTGGAATTATTCTTTTTAACTTTTTTGTGATTCTTTTCTGAGAGTAGAACTGCTTTTTTTATTGACATTTTAACAATAAAGCCCATAGGAAAAGGTTCCAGGTTGAGTTTCTGTTTCTATGGTTGTGAATTTTTATACAGAAAATACAAACAGGGCTCGTCCAAAACGTGGAGCGCTGCTGCGAAGCACGACTTCTGGTGATTGATGCCTGAAGGCGTGGCAGAGGTGTGAGGTAATTCACAGCAGCGAAAGGCTGGTGAGACAGGCTTCACTTCTGCTGACAACACCATAACCTCCTAGACAATTTGTGTACCATCACTCATCTGAAACAGTCTGGCCCTGACACTGAGGCATTTGTAGATGTGTATCTGTGGGAGCACAGTGTCTGTCTGGGCATGAGGGTCAGAGATGGTGTGGGCAACAGTGGTGTTAGAAAAGTATTGTTTCAGCACTTTTTTTCCCTCCTTTTTTTTGTCTCCTTCTTTTTCAGTCTGTGAAAACAATTGTGACATCGTAGATTTGACCACAGATAGCTGTGGTCTTATATCAAATTCCACTCCCTGTGTGACCCTCTGAAGGATGTGTGATTACAAAAATAGCAACCAAATAGCTGCCTGTGAGTTAATTCACATTGCCACACTTTGAATTCTTGCCCTCTCCTGCAACTGCTTTTTTCATACATAAACTGCCAGTCTTTCATTAATGTAAGGCAAACTAATGTACATAAAATATTTTTAACGCATTTGTAAATCTACTCGCACATTTGCAGATGGTTTTGCTACAAAAGTGGCCCCATAATATTACGTACTAATAAAGTAATATACATGTTATAAAAGCACAACTTTCCAATTGCTGATATTATTATAATTGTCAGTCGGACCAATAATTAATGAAGCCCAATGAGGCAACATTTAGTTTATTCTTCATCCAGCAAATCAGGCAATCATTCCACGATGACGGTACAATCGGCTCCTTCAACATAATTTAAATATTGCAAGAATGCCACAATATGGCAGTTACTTTTCTTTTAATGCAATTCCAACCAAACATGTCATGTTTTACTGTGCTGACAGCAGCTCTACCTCTTCTTACAACAAGCACGTACATGGCTCTGCTCTTTGTTTGGCACAGGCTCCTGAGGCTTCAGAGGCTTTTCTGTCAACTGAGAGACAGAGAGAGAGAGAGAGAGCCAACATAGAAAGAACAGTCTGTGGAGGACTGAGGTGAAAGCCGCTCCAGAACCCTCGCACCAGGCTGCATGAGATGTTAGAGAACAGCATCATATCAGCAGAGAGAGTGGGAAGGGCAAGAGGTGGACATCTATGGAATTATAATAAGTGAGAGACCAGGCAGTGTGTGTGTGACAGAGAGAGAGAGAGAGAGAGAGAGAGAGAGAGAGAGAGAGAGAGAGAAGGGGAGAGCGTTAACTGAGTGAAGAGGAAGTAGAACCACATGCACCCACAGCATATCTGCTGAGATTGTTTCCGAGTACTGTTTTCAACCTTTGATGTTGATTGTTTCAGTGGTTTCAGAGAGAGAGAGAGAGGGACAGAGAGAGTGAGAAAGATAGAGATAAGGGATGGAGAGAGGGAGTGAAGAGGTAGATGCTGTAGAAGAGAGAGAAAAAAAGAGAGCTGGGGGAGGGAGGGAGAGAGAGAGAGGAAGTAAAAATGTGGTTCTAATCACTCACAAAGATGCTTTTGTTCTGTAGCTGGGGCCCTCTCTCTCTCTCTCTCTCTCTCTCTCTATATATATATATATATATATATATGTATATATATATATATATTTCTCCCTCCATCTACACATAGAGCATCAACAGACTTATGCCGGTTTATTCCACATTAAATTAAAATATACCTGTTAAAAAGTTACAATATAGGTTTGCTTGATGTACTACATAAAAGTAAATTTATATTAGTATGGCCTACTATTGGGCCATTGTTTTGTAGCAAAAGGATCTGCAAATGTGTGAGTACATTTACAAATGAATAAAAAGAAAATATGCAAATACGTTCATTGATCTGTATGTATAGACAAATCTGTAATTGCTTTCGACCAATGGAGGATGTACCATAAAATTATATATTTTTAGTAAATTTTCTAGGTGACCACAGATGTGAGCCCTGATGAACTGGACTTGGGAGTCTTTCTTTTCGTGAAAAAAATTTTCAAGAAATTTTTTTTGAAAAAAAAAAATTAAAATTTTTTGAAAAAAAAAAAAGGTCACAGGGAGTCTCTGCTCTGACTGAGGATCCCTGGGTCTGGGACCCAGGGTCCCCTGGGTCTGACCCAGTCCTTGTCAAACAGCAATAATGAGGATCTGTGGAGTGTCCTCATTGTCCGGACCACGAGGTGACCACAGATGTGAGCCCTGATGAACTGGACTTGGAGTCTTTTTTTTTTTTTAATTTTTTAAGAATTTTTATAACATTTTGGAGTCTTTTTTTTTTTTTTTAATTTTTCAAGAATTTTTATAACATTTTTTTTTCGAGAAATGTTTTCAACTAAATTTTTTTTTCCTGAATATTTTTTTGAAAAACTAAATTTCTCAAAAAAAAATTTGAAAAAAAAAAGACTGGGTCAGATTTTTTTTCAAGAAATTTTTTTCAAGAAATTTTTGTCGGGTTTTTAATTTTTTTTAGAATTTTTTTT